GCCTTCGTATTTCAGGGCCATCACGTTAACTTGTGGACTTATTCTAATCCAACTGATGATTTTTATTACACTGACACTCACTTCAGATTTCTATGAAATGGATAGATCAGTAATGAGTAGAAAGAAGGTTGTATGATTCTTCTTCAACAGCGTACTCATCCTCCCAGTGGAGTTTGTGCTTCTTTGGACAACATAAGTGCGTCTTCTTGTTAAGTCTTCTCGGCTGGTGTATAACAACCTATTCGCCAGTGCAAGTCATTTTTAACCAAAATGAGTTCAACATGTTTCACCAATAACCGATTATCCTGTTGTCATGATTTTCATGTTTGTTGGAGAAATGGAACGACGATCTGGCAGCTGAAGCTGGACCACAATCTGAAACGGTTTTCATCATTAGACCTCAAAGCTCAACTAAATGAAGACCGTTTACATCGCACAGCTCTGGTTCAACAGTTTGCATTATTAGTTTCTCATTAGCCCCACCTTGTTGAAATATACATTTGTAGAAAATAGTTCAATTTACAAAGTTGTCTGATTTCGTCGTGACTGAATGCTCATGCCTAAATCAGATTCTATGATTTAATTTAGGTGGTATTCAGCAGTACTTATAAATATACATGTGGATGTTCCATAAAAAATGTAACGACCAACCGTTTACGTGCGATATCCGGAAGAATGTCAGACAGATGATAAGTTTCAGAATTGATCGATGATTTTCTCCTATCTATGACTCTTTATCGCTATTATATATATATATATATATATATATATATATATATATATATATATATATATATTTCTATCCATAAGATCTTCCGAGTAACTTATGAACTAAAGTTGTGTGATATATTCGAGTGCCTCACCTATTAACTCCGCCAGTTTATTATCCATAGTATCAATTATCCGAAGCTTCTTTTGTCCCGCTATTGTATACACGTGTTTAGTCATTTTGATGTGATGTGATCAATTATTGTTGATTTGCAAACTATATCTGCTGAAAGTTTTCCATAATTCTGTAAAACCCCGCTTACAGACTTCGGGACCAAGAGACAAAGTAAAATGAGTTGTGAATGATTAACAAGTAAGGACTGACGAAAGTTTACAGGTGCTAACGTTATTCGGATGAGCGTTTTGTACTTGGGCACCTGTGTCAGCGAGGTACCTATCTTTAATTCGGATATCGTGCACATAAAATAGACTGCCAACCTGAGGTTGGGGACCAACGAAGTTTCCCACATTGTATGAACAGAGTGCTCGACAATGAAGCGCGCCAAACCCGAAAGTCTGGTGGAATCAGCACCAACCGGTACTCCCTTCAGAAGTCGCCTTTTGACGTGGCTTGAAAGATCCCCGCTGGGCGAATATCTGCAGCCTTTCTCTATCGAGAGCCGGCTCGTTAGACATGGGGTTCGGGAATAGTAGAACGATCTCGAAAACTGAGGTGGCTGTGAAAACAGCAACTCCTATCTTTTTGAGCACCTACGTGATTAGCATCGAGATCCACGTTGGCTTGTGACGCAGAGAAAACTATATAGTTGTCATGCAAGCTAAGCCTAGCTACAATCTTACCTGCTATGATGGCGGCTTCGTTAACTGGTGTATCCTCGAGCAGAATAACGATATATCAGGCAACAGATAAAAAAAAAAGAAATTTGGGTATAAAAATTACAGACTCACCGGATTTAATGAGTATTCAAAGATATGGCCCACCAGTTATCGACATAAAATACTACTTCGCGGGATAACAAATGTTAATCCCATTAATCTAGGAATCAGATAAAATAGCCAACAGTTTGTGTTGAAAATGGTGACATTTTAAGACTGTGACACTATAAGCAATTCATTTGTATGTGAAAATGAGGAAGCTTGTTTGACCAAGATCAGATTTCCTTTCCATTATGAAAATAACAGTAATAGTATTGATGAATATTATATTTCATTAACACTATGATGAAGGTATTTGTCGTAAGGATACATATGAGCTAGGAAACATCAATGTGTAGATTATGAAAAATATCAACACAAAACGAGATAGGAAGGGGCTTCGGTGGTTTATATAATATCAAATTATTATTTCTGGTGATCCAATCGTTTACCTAGGTATATGACTCAAAGTTGAAAAATGCACAAAAATAAATCTATCATCCGTCCCCTGCTTTCACTGAAAGAAAGAATAAAACGATTTCTATGTTCCTGCACGTGTATAGGAGATGAATGAAATTCAATAACTACTAAAATTCCATACAATTCTTCCTTAATTAGAATATAAAAGGGCTCAACTTCAAAATCCCTGTGTTTTTAGTACCTTAATCAGGCCATTTTCTCACGTCTCTCTTTTCACACAAATTTACTTTGTGGATTAACAATACCGTCTTATTCTGTTCAACAAATAGCTGTCAATTTACGTTCACATACAAACTTTAGTAAATTGAGGTACTGACGCAGCATTTTTGAATATCTTTTGTAATCCAGATAAGTGCTTGCTAAATACTGTTCTTCCATCCTCTGTTGGTCATCGTGAACGTTTCTGAGTAAAAATTGGAAAACCTCTACAGTCAATTGATAGAATAGGTTGAATATTATCATGCTACTCAATCGCATCGTCTCTGATTTTGACTAATTTTGAATAATTTATACAGTGACATATTACACTATTCGTGAAGGACATTTCTTGACCGTAAACATATCGACTAGGTGAACTATAAGCAATAATTCTCGGAATAATCTAGAGCATACACTAACACTGTTCATTCTTTAATATAAATCATTTTCTCACATATTATCAGTATATATGGTATCTCAGGTATTGTAAGCTAATTCAAAATCCTTTACCTCACAAAATGCATTGCCTGCAGTCCAATTAATAAAATCCTATCTGCAAGACCGATTAGTCACGTGTATGAATCAGAAAATTGCGATTTATATTGTAAATCTACATTCGAAAGTACTGCATACGATGGCTGCAATCATACTGAACTAATTTTCAGGCACTTGTTCATTGTTACATCTCTATGTATGGTCTTTATCTAAAACTATACGTATTTGCATATCGACCTGTTAACTATCTTCCATATATATACGGTCACAGTTTACATAAACATTCCGACTTCAACCAATCAATATCCACTCATACTCAAACGTTTCAAGCATATGTTTCGACAGTGTTTGGTACTTGGCTTTTCATACCATGATTGATGAGTAATCCGAGGAGTCATGTCCGTAACTACATGAGAAGTTATGTCGAACAATCGCGCAACCGATGGCTTATATGATACCTATACATCGGAAATTCAAATGATCATTTTTTTAAATAACTTCTTTGTTCGATTTGTACTGACAAGTCCTTCTCTGGCTGTTTTTTATTGCAATAAATAATCTGGATCACAAAATTCCTATTATAGCATGGCCGATACAACTCAATCAAGCAGTTAGGATCTGTATTAGGTGCAACTGGTCATTTCAACTCAGTTGTGAGATTCTCCGAGGACTACGCACAAGTAACGTCACAACAAATCAACACTTTCTCAACACAACGCATCAGGAAATAACGTTTTTCTAATTTATTACCAACAATGTGTTTTCTTGTTTTGCAGTAATCCATGTTAGCAGTGATGAATCATTCAATGTGGGTAACAATAACACTTGTCTCTCAACACATTTCAGAAGACAAAAGTGTTCCTCTGCTAGTGAATCAAATGACTTCAAGTAACCGAGAATGATCGATCACAACGTGGCTTATCATACTAATGTTTTTCATTTTCGGTTCTATAATTTTCATCTGTACTGCTTCGTTGTTTTCCTTTCCTTCATTTTTTGTAAGTTTCTATAATTTGCCTGAGTTTATTGTATACTTATTCTTAATTTTCATTTACGCTTTGTTGCATTATGTCAGTACTACTCCTCCTCTGTGAAAGACATTTTCGTTCTCATAAATAGAGTAAAAGTGCGCTTCTTATCAAGTTAATCTATTCTGTCTTTCTTGTTTCCGTTGGTTTTCGCTTGGTTCAAGGATTTCCAGCTTGTTTCGGTTCATTTCCTCGAAAGTTCATAATGTTCAGACTTTCAGTGTATCAATTTCGATTACTGTTTCAGTAATTATAATTATGACTTTGGATGCGATTTATCTCTAACCATATGGCATCATAACTCTTTTCAAGGAAGACGCTTCAACTCACCAGCAGGAGTTTAGATGTTTGAAATGATTTTATCTGGTAATCTAGGTTTTTTTCTAAATAAAGAGGTAGTTAATGCGATACCTAAACCTGCCCTTTTTATCCACATGATTGCGTGGAAATATCTGTGAAGGTTTCCGGAAGAAGATGAATGCGTAAATAAATGAAATTTTGCTTATTCATTAATCCTTCATTTTGGCTATTTGAACACAAGAATGTATGACCTTAAAACTGTGGTGCCTGTTAAAAAAGTCACCGTAAAACAACGTGTAAACCAAAAAACTCAACTCAATCACTTGACTAATTTGTTACTTTACAGGTTCAGTTAATTCAACGAATATTCCTCACTTCATCTTAAAAAATAATCATACTCTTTTTTTTTATAATCCCCTCTATAAATGTGCAAAACCTTGAATCAGTACATGATTTCGAGTAAGACGACATTTGTGACCCAAAGGGACAGTATGACCGCTTCATCTTTCTATGGAACTGTACTGTATTTAATCTAGGACCTTCGGTTTCCATTGAGACCACTTAACTTATAAACCATTAATCCATGATCCAATCATGTACAAGAATAACTTCATTTAATTTTTGAGACTTTGTCATTCATATTGCAATGAAGGCATTGCAAAATATCGGCAAAAATCCATTGAAAATAATTATACTTATTCCATACTGGAAAAATATACAATTATTGCTTAGATTTCAAATTTTCTGATTCTATTAAACACTTTATCTTCGTTTTATTTTTTGAAAAAAAAATCCGTTAAAACCAAAAACACTACTTATAAGTACTATAAAAAACATTATAAAATTAATGATTTATTCCGATTCACGTAAAATGTTCTTCTATAGGAATGAATAAAAAAAACACAACACACCAACATAATAAAATGCAGTCCACTTTTTTTTTCGCTTTTATTTTTTGCAAAATATTTTTTTATTGCATGAAACTTATGAATGATAGATAATACATGAGTTTTGTATTAGTTTTCTGGCAGAATTTCTTTATTGAAGAATCAATCAGACAATCATCATCATGAGTATTCAGCATGAGTTTTGATTTCTTCACACAAAACGTTATCCATATCTAAAATTGAAAAAAAATAATTCAAATATAATGTGTTATCTGTTTTCATATATAAATCTTTACATTTGTCTGAAAGTCGTTGAAATCGATTACTGGTGTACATTGAACATTCTCATAATAGACAGATGTAACACTGAGAATCACATCCAAAACTACGAAGTTCCTGCAAATTACAAATTATCATTATATCGTGACTAGCAATTAAATTTAAGATGATATTAATGAAGTTCTATGTAGAATCCGTGATCGGTAGAGTGTCAACATGTCAGGAGCCTCACAATAGGATGAAATAGCTATTCACTCACTGGTAGTCTATCTAAAAATACACATTGACTTGAATTTAGGAACAGTGTTAATTAAATGCATAATTCAGTTTTTTTTATAATTCACTGGTTACTGAGTAGTGATCAACATTATATATATTAATAACTTCTTTGTACTGATTGAGTTATATTGATAAAATTGCAATGTGCAGTATTTTGAAGTATAAGGTGATGGTTTCACAGGGTCAGTGTGAATCCTTGTGTAGTGAAGGAGAACACAGATGGAGCAACCGGATTGTATTAAACGAAAATTACAGAATTACTCAGTAAAATAGGAAAACCATATCATAAATCGTTTATTTGCAAAATATCAGTTCATCATATCGAACTGGACTGTTCCTGTTGCAAAACATCAATCCATTATCAATATTCATGCGTTTCAAACAAATTCCATTGTTTTCTATTTCTTCCTTTCTTGATCTTCACCCATCTTCTGCTGCCAGACATTACGTTGACACTCACGTCATATACTACTTATAAGTAGCTCACACCACACTTGTTCGACCTCGGTTTCAAGCTTGTGAAATCTTTTTATCAAGTCTTTTTATCAAGGCGTAGCTGTAATCATATGAGAAGTGATGCACCAAAGTGCATGTGATCGCATATCCTGCAGCTTCGAAAATGGAGACATTGATTTTTTAATGATATGACAACATTATTACATAACTCAGAGTTCGATTTATTTCCTCTCTCACGTATTAGTCAGGGTTCCATATCGTGATAATCTCCTCCTTAAAACCTACTACGCCAGCCATGTTAATTAGGGCGCATTAAAAAGATAGGCGGAAAAATTACTATTCGAGGGTAAAAATTTACTCAGAACTCTACCGAACGTGTATCACTAATAAGTGTTGTCCTTTGTACAACCATGATCTTCAATAAAATAACCTTGTCACAATGGAAAGCATGGATTAGAAAAATTTGACCCTCGAGTTTTATTGTCAACCACTATTATCTACAAAACTCTTATCTCTATAAAGAGTTTCTTTATTAGGTAATTTGAATTGTATTCTCTGATGGTATCAAATTCCTTTATGCATCTAACTGTGCACAAAATCATCTTGTTCCTCACTAAATCCATTCTTCATTAATTAGATATATATTTCAATTACAACATCAAAAAAAAGAGACAGTATATTACAGTGAGAAATCTATTTGAAAAAAATATATTATTAACAAAACGTTAATTAATCATTTCCAAACTAATTCATTGATTTCCAAGAATTTTACTACAACAAAAATATGTAGAACATATTTTAAAGTTTTTAAAATTAAAAAAAATAAAAGATAGAAACGCTTTTAAAATATTTAAAAAAAAATATATGAAACATATTTTTCAAATTGATACATTAAAACAAAGATTAGTCTGGTTGCCTATTAAATGTATTTTAATTGTTTAATTATTTAACTGTACGTAAAAAAAATCATTTTGCAATGTTTTTTGAATGTAGACTATTGAATTTTGAATGATCAATTACTAGCTTCCAATACAAAATGAATAAACATGAAGAGATGTCTACGGATTATAGAATTTTTTTAAAAATAATAATAATAATTACTTGAATGTCTTACCGGAGAAATTGATGATCAGTTTATAAAAATAAACTTACTAAAATTGTTCAATTTTCACACACATAAATGTGTTAAAAATAAAAAAAACATTTTGTCCCTATTGTTTATTTCCCGTCTACATTTGTGGTAACCAAAGAGATACTTTGTTTACTATTGTTGATTACTGAACTACTTATCTATTTTATTATTATAATGTAAGATGAAAAAAAAAACTGAAGATAAACACTAGAAATTCAAATTCAAAATATATATATATATATATTTGAGTATGTACTTATTTAAATGGGCGTTTATCATTTTAACTCTTCAACAAAGCGAAAAAAAACTAGTCTCTTTGTGTTTAAAAATAGAAGTGGGCAAAAAGATGAAGATGATGACAGATAGCGAGAGCGAGAGAGAGATAGATAGAAATAGAGAGAAACAGATGAATAAATGTTCGTTCTTAAATAATGTTAAACGTGAATCACATATCATTAACAATGAATCAAGTATTCAACAATTAGAAAAATATCACTGTTGAATCATGTTAAATCATAGGTATATATCTTTGATTGACAAATGTGGTTACTAATAGATCCGAATAGTTCAGTGGTGCAGTTTCAAAATTTGAAACTGGATGATATGTACATGGAAACTATCAATGAGTATAAGTCCCATCAAGATTGAAGGTATATCTATTTCATAAGTTATAAACTCTTTTATAAGCCACTTTCTATCGTTTTATAAAACGTTCTAAAAAGTCCATGAAAGAGTTATCTGCTCGTTTATTTTGATTATCTCCCCTTTTGATCTGTTTCTTGATCCTATGTTTGTCTATAATTTCGAGATCAACTATTAGTCATACGTGAAGAAATTCAAATACTTCATTTGTGTTTGAAGTTTGCGCTGACGATGTTGTTCAGAAGAACAACGAAAGCTCTACTGCCGAAACATTCACTTCAGAAAAAATGGAAACTGTATCACAAGTCAGTGAAATAATTTTATAAATCCATATCAAAGAAACTTGTGAATATTTTTGCTAATCAATTTACTCAACAAAACTACTTTCAAACGATATTATTTAATTCCATAATTCATATAAAATATATTTTATTAATTCATGAAAAAAAGAACATTTTATTTCTATTAAATTCAACTTATGATAAGATGAACATTAACTGGTATTTGTCTTATTACAAAAATTTTACTTAAAAACTAAATATCCTATTTATTGACAATTTAATAATGATTTAACCATTAGCATATGTTTGTCAATCATTGAACATGTTTTGATCAGATTAACTGTATACCTATGCATGTATAGATGTGCGTTGTAAAAGTTTTTACATTTTTTGCTAAAATTTAAACTTTGTTTGTACAATGTTCTCTTTGAATTTTTCTAAATCATCTAAGACATCTTTCTCCCACCGGATTACATCCATACATGAACACTTTTAAAGATTATTTTGAAAATAACATTATGAACTTCCGGAACCCTAACCATGTATTTCTACGTACAGACAGACGTAACCAAAAAACATCTCAGGTGAAAACAAGGGATTTCAGTGATGTATATATATATATATATATATATATATGTACACTTCATTACAACGATTTAAATTAACAATGATAAATTCCCAGAGTGTTTTTTTTATTTCACTTTCTCACTACTAATAGTAATATTCTTCAAAGATGTGATTTTTTTTGACACAACTATTTCTATCAAATATGATTTGATACTTGAATGAGATTTCGAAACTTCTTACTGTTGGCATGGAAACCTATTACTTGATAAATCTATTTTTGCTTATGTATGCTCCGATTGGATTGCCTCAATATTACCATTAAGTCACAACTTTATAAACACTATAGAAAAGTGTCTAGCTATGGGATACAAAAAACACGCTTTATTCTTTTCTCAAAACTCAACAGTCAGATTAATAAAATGAATAATGATAAAGTTTAAAAACACTTACAATCGAAATTGAAATCATAGTCACTCGACAAGGTAGTGACTAACAAGACTTAATTAGTCAGTTGATGATAAGTCGAGTTTTTGAAATAGAAACTACTCAATTCAAATACAATAAGAAGATAATAATTTTAGGATGTAGATACATCCAGATAATCGATCCCAAACAGAATGAAACTCCCCCTGCATCTTACTATCAACCATCATCTAACATTACCGTACTCTTCGCAGCTAAGAACTCTCATTGTAACACATTATATTGTGTGCATTACTCAGTAATTACAAAAATATTGAGAAACCTATCATAAATAATTACTACTGAAAATTATTAAAATTACGCAATCAGTAGTATTTAGATCAGTAACCAGTGAGGAAACATTTTATAATCATATGAAAAGCAACAATCATAATTACAGTCGTTTCTGTAGGCTTATCTAGCTAAGGAATAGTCGAGGATGTAACTAACTTCTTCTAGACTCGAATTGTAAGTTCGAATACTTATTACTTCTGCTAGACGTAAGTGGCAAGATTGCAACTCCATTGGTTAAATGATCAGTAATATTTAGTTTCACCCTATACATAATAACTTAATTAAAACGTATCATATCCAAAGGTTATTCATTTTAAGGTCAATTAACAATAACAATAATAATAATAACAAACATATGTTTTGTGTGTGTGTGTGTTTGGTTAAAGAAGAAATCATATCACCTAGTCTACCTATCCGCTATTATCTTTATAAATATATATATAGAGGATGTATGCAAACGTTAATATTCATCAGTTCACTTTGATGCCTTGTAGGTTTTGTTTTTTTTTTACTTAAATAAAGAAAAACTCATCCCTAAATCCTTTATTCATTCGGTTTTGTTTTTTATTTCATTGACAGATTCAAACAAATTATTTGTCATGAAACAAGAATATCTATGATATTGCCTTAAGTAGGCTAAGGAGTAATTGATCATCTGTTTTTCTTCTTTCTATATTCCCTCTTAAATGACGTGAACATGATTATTGAATAAGAAATAGAATTACTACGTATGTGATTGACAAAACTGACAAAATGATGCTTCTTTTTTCCGGTCAGTTAAATTTTCCATCATGAATTCATGCTGACTGAAGAATTAAATGAAATCAGCGTGTACTGCGGT